GCGAGGATATATTGCTGAAACACGTTAGAAGATTCTTTCAATTTATTCTTTAATCACCATCGTCTTCATCATCCTCTTCATCATTATCCTCATCATCATCATCCTCATGTTCATCATCACCGTCTTCACCATCCCCGCCATCTTCATCATTTTAGTTGATATCATTTTTTGGGAATTTAATCATCATCATCATTATATTAATCAATCGATCATCATTATATCAATCATGATAATAATTAATATCAACAACCAAAACGATGATGATGATGATGATAACATTAAGACAAGAGACTGGAGATAGATAGGAGGAATCTTGAAATGCAGGACATTCTCGGCGTTGGTCAGTTTGGAGATGTCTTCAGGGGTTTATACACTGACAAGGTGAGTGGGATGGTTGGTTGGTTGGTTGGCTGGTTGGTTGGTTGGTTGAGTGGTTGGTTGGCTGGATGGTTGGTTGGTTGGCTGGTTGGTTGGCTGAATGGTTGGTTGGCTGAATGGTTGATTGAGTGGTTGGTTGGCTGGTTGGTTGGTTGGTTGGCTGGTTGGTTGGCTGGTTGGTTGGTTGGTTGGTTGGCTGGTTGGTTGGTTGAGTAGTTGGTTGGTTGGCTGTTTGGTTGGTTAAATGGTTGTTGGAATGGCTGGTTGGTTGGATGAATGGTTGGTTGGTCGTTTGTCTGGTTGGCAGATTGATGGATTGATTGGACGAATAATAATTAACTAATTATTATTCCAAATAGTTACATTTTACTTCATTCATTCATCTGATAATTCTTTCATACCAAACAACCTTTTGACCTGTCAATTGGTATTGTTAATTCAACGGTTCATTAATTCCTTGCACGGTTGACTGACCACATCTCGAATGTTCCTCGCCGGGATAGGAGGGCAACTGTAGGCAGGTCGCCATCAAGACGTGCAAACTCGAAGCTGACAGTGACAACGCTGAGAAGTTGCTCGCTGAAGCTTGTCAGTGTTGATCAATCATTCAATTAAAAAAATTAACCTATTAATTAATCAATCCATCGATCACTCAATCGATCATTTAACCCATCGATTAATCAATCAATCGATCACTCAATCACTCAATCAATTAATCAACACACACACATTTACACAACACATGTAATATTACAAATCATTCCATCACACACACACACACACACACACGCACGCACAGACATAATGGAACAGTTCAGTCACCCTCACATCACCCAATTAATTGGCATCTGCTCAACCTACCCCGTTCAAATCGTCATGGAACTTGCCGAACTTGGCGAGGTGAAGTTGATGATGATGATGATGATGGTGATAATGATGGTAATGATAAAGATGACAACGACGTCGCCAATATTGGCTCACCATTCAAAATTGCCTGGTTCGAAAGCAAGAAGATTCCCACTTACCCTGGACAACATTTGTGGTGATGCGTATGTTTGGGTGCTTCGCGTCTGCCACTGACACTCTTGTAGAAAGTGTTTTAAGAGAGAATGACCTTGAATGACCTCTAACCTTTAAAATTTTCAACTTCTTTTGACCTCGTGCAGATGAGGAACTTCCTGCAGCAGAACAGCAGCGGCATCGACTACCTGATGCTCCTGCTCTACTGCTACCAGCTCAGCACTGCCATGTCCTACCTCGAATCGAAACACTTCGTACACCGGTCAGTCAGTCACTTAGTCAGTTAGTTAGTCAGTCGGTCAGCCGGTGATGGTTTGGGGAATGAGCGAGTGAGTGAATGAGTGAATGAATGAGTAGATGGATGAATGAATGAATGAGTGAATGCATAAATGAGTGAATGAATAAAAGAATGAATGAATGAATGAATGAATGAATGAATAAATAAATAAATAAATGAGTGAGTGAGTGAATGAGTAAACGTCCTCATTATCGCCCTCCCTCCTCACCAGGGATATTGCGGCCCGTAACGTATTAGTTTCCTCCGTTGATTGCGTCAAGTTAGCAGATTTTGGTCTTTCTAGGATGCTGATGGATGAGAATTATTATACAGGTTGGTTGGTTGGTTAGTTGGCTGGTTGGTTGGTTGGCTGGCTGGTTGGTTGGTTGACTGGCTGGTTGGTTGGTTCCTAACCCAACCAACCAACCAACCGACCGACCAACCAACCGACCGACTAACCACCCACACAGCCTCCAGGGTCGGCAAGCTGCCGATCAAATGGATGGCTCCCGAGTCGATCAACTACAGGAGGTTCACAACTGCCAGTGACGTCTGGATGTTCGGTGGGTGCTCTTGATGATGATTACCATTTCATCACCCGTTCCTCCACTCAGTCCTTCACTCATTCATTCATTCAATCAATCATTCATTCACTCATTTATTCATTCACCCGTTTATTCATTCACTAATTTACTCACGTTTTCAATCAAACATTTACTAATTCATCATTAATTTATTATTGACTCAATCACTTGTTTGCTCAATCACTAATTCACTAATTATGTTATATACTTAACCAGTCATTTATTCATTCATTCATTCATT